TAGGTTTTCGTTTCCGACTAAATTTGAAGTTGAGGTGATGATTTGGGTTTCAACCTAGCGGCCGTTGTATTTCTCCCTCAACGGGCCATTTATCTCGTCTATAATTACGTCACATAGTAATGATATAGACTCTATAATTCTCTTTAGGGGCAAGACGATGTAAGCCGACTATCTAACCCTCCTCCCGCTCCCCTCTCGCACTCCACGCATTTCGCTACCACCCCCACACCTCACCAATCTGGTGAGCTGTGGTTCACTCCGAATGTTTACATTAATTTACAATCGTAGATTCGGGTGACGGCCATTAGGGGCAGATAATTTAGCTTTTAACGATTTGAAACTAAGGGGAGGTAAGAAGTTCTGCTTGATCTTTTCATTGTCGTCTGTAAGCTGTCGTCACGGACGACTGCTTTCACGGGGGCGGTGAGGGGATGGGAGGGAGGGTAGTGTCGAATTCACAAATTATGAGTTACTGAAAAGTAGAAAATAAAACAACTAAACAGCTGCTTGTGCTCGTATACGAAGTATAGAAGAAGTATTGTAATAGTGAAAAAAAATAAAATGCGAGTGATCTCTCTATAAACTTTCTCGAATATTCTTCTATAATATACATTTATAAAGTAAAAAAGGGAAAGTGAGAGCATCGAAAGGCTAAATTACGTAACCACTATCAAATGTGCAGCTATTTGTTCTGTTGGTGTCACACACTTACACACTTGAAGGCTGTTGTATAATAATTTGCTTGATCGAATGATATGCAGGTTTGGAAATTTCCTATGTGGTTTAACCCCAGTCCACTTCGGTGGACGGTGTATTTGCTGTCAGCCCCTCCCTAACTTTTGTCGAATGGCGTCAATTCTTGCAAACGTTATATAGATCCGTCTGAAAAAGCATTTAGGGGTCTAACTCGAACAGTTGTTAATTCAATTGCAATTCAATTGTCACCCCCCCCCCCCCCTAAATTGTGTCACCTTGTGCGGTCCGCAACCCCCGTCTCTGAGTAAGGATCCCAAGTCTTTTAATGTCCCAAGGGCCCCCGGCTGATCTGTTACGAAACTTCGCGTGGCACATTTGAATATACCAATAAGGTCGCTTATTGGGGGAGGGATGGGGGGAGACGGACGGTGTGTCGTAAAGGCTACCACGAATAGGCTGATATGTTGAAACTTGAGCTAGTAGTACAACACTACAGTAGTTACTGTCCCTTCAATGTCACCGTGATTAAAGATAAACGCTTTGTGTGTCGATGTAGTTCGAAAGGGAAGTAGTGACTGGAAGAAAATGACATGTGTATGTGTGTGTGTGTGTGTGTCACGTGTGTGTGGGCGGGGGGTGTTATGGTGTGGTAAACACATGAAAACAGTTCACAACGATGTCACGGGTAAATGGCATGTGAAACGCGTTACACTGGCCAGCTCTCGTAATTCATTTGGTTCCTGGAGTTTAGATAGGATTATTGCGTTTCACACATCATGGCTGTTAACTACGCCTGCTTGTTTCAAGAGTTCATCGTTTATACTTGCTAAAGCATATGGTTGGACAGCTCTAGACTTGTTTGTTAGGCGGTGTTAACTAATTAATTTGTACACTTTTACTTCTAGCTATCACAGGTAACCCCTGAGTGTAATGGCCATGAAAGCCCATGTCGGCGGCTCGCGGCTGTTTGTCCAACAGTGCAGGGAGCCAAAGCTTGGGGGATTAGTGGCTGCTACACGTAGTGTGGCCGAGAAATCCCATTCGGAGGTTCCCAAAACTGCCTGTCGAACAGTGGAGGGGCTGATGGTGGGAGATTATTGGCTGCACGGACGGGGTCATGCAGCAGGAAGTCTACAGAAGCCAGTAGCCAAGCAACCGGGCCGGTATCACGGCAAACGTGACGACGGATCCCCTAGAGTGTAGTTGCGAAAAGCCCCATACTGACGGTGCACTGCTCAGGGTGTGCCAGTTCTGGGAAGTAGCGAGCACTAGTCCAACCGGGCTGGGATGAAGTCACGAATTGATGAACCCCAGAGGTGTTGGCCTTGAAAGCTCATGCCGTAGGCTCGCAAGATCGGTCTGGCTAGCCGGTGGCGGGGGTCGAAAGTATGAGTTAGTAGGGGTTATATCACCGATGGGTCGGGAGCATGTCCCCCCACGATGTGTTGGCCAGGAAACCCCATTCGGAGGTTCGCAAGATTGGTCTAGCCAGCCAGTGGCGGGGGCTGATGGGTGGGCGAGTAATGGTTAGATCGCACCGGTGGGCCCATGCAGGAGCCAGGAGCTAGTCTCTTGGGGCTAGTCTCTTGGAGCCAGTCTACAGAAGCAAGTTAAGTTAGATTTTGATTTAATATATTTGATGTAATAAACATGTATTAGTATATTTCCATGTTTTTTTCTCTTCCATTTCTTCCAGGTGCTTGTAGTTAGGTCTCCGGCACTAACAGGGCTACCATTCCTCCTCGGAGGGTAGCACTGCCCAATGGGGGGGATGAAGTGGTTCGACTTGTAATGGAGAATCCCAGCACATTCCCACTCTGTGAAACCTTACACTCGGTAGTGCTGCCGTGGGTAGGGGGAGCAGCGGGGGCCTCATAATGCGAGCGGTGTCTGGGCATTGTTAACTAATCAATTCCATTTCTTTTTTTCCCCCATGCAGCTTGTACTCCACACAGACGGGGCTACCAGTCCCTTCCCGATGGTAGCGCTGCCTGACGGTGGGGAGGAAGTGGTTCGACTTGTGTTCGGAGATTCCCAGCACATTCCCAAGCTGTGAAACCTTACACTCGGTAGTGCTGCCGTGGGTAGGGGGAAGCAGTGAGGGCCTCAAGTGTATTGAGCGGTGTTTGAATTTAAGCTAATGTATTGATGTATTTATGTCAAGTATTGATGTATTTATGTCAAGTATTGATGTATTTATAATGTATTGATGTATTTCTATATTTGTTAGGTATTAAATATTTTTTGCTCTATTTTTTTTATTTACAGTTTGCGACATACGTGACGAAATCCCCTTGAGTGTAGGCGTGAAAAGCCCCATACTGACGGTGCATTGCTCTTGTGTGCCAGTTCTGGGAATTAGCGCTCACTGGTCCAGCCGGGCTGGGATGGAGTCACATCTTCACGAAGAGCCCCAGAGGTGTTGGCTTAGAAAGCTCATGCCGTAGGCTCCCAAGATCGGTCTGGCTAGCCGGTGGCGGGGGTCGAAAGCATAGTTAGTATGGGTTATATCCCCGATGGGTGCCGCATGACTCCCCTCCGATGTGTTGGCCAGGAAACCCCATTCGGAGGTTCGCAAGATTGGTCTAGCCAGCCAGTGGCGGGGGCTGATGGGTGGGCGAGTAGTGGTTGTATCACACCGGTGGGGCCATGCAGGAGCCAGGGGGCTGAGTGCTGCCCACCAACAAGAAGGACGCTACTGCATTTTTCCATGGGACCGTAAGGTTCAATGAGGTAAGTTGACCATAGCATTTTTTTATAGCCTTTTTATATAATGTATAGAGCTATAATTAGCTTAATTCTACAACTAAAATATGAGCTGTCCAGCCCACATGCATCTAGCAAGGATCTTTTTGGCTGAAATTCTTATTCATTTTTTAAACTTGCCTTCATATACATGAAATATGGACCAGTAGTGCGTATTTTCATCATACGGCCCAATACTAAGACGAAAAATAAAGGATAATGTTCCTTGCTGTCGGGCTGTCTAGAATTTCTTCTTGGTATGTATGTTGTTTTGTACATTTGTGTACATTTGTCATTTTATAATTTTCCAATTTCTTTCTTGAGATCTTCAAATGTCTACGATGTATTATTTCTGTTAATTTTCATTTTCAAAATATCCCCAGCCGTAGCCCAATTGCTTATCCGTTGTCAAAGTTAGATGACCAGAAAAGTATGCAACATTGCTTGAATTTGTACGTTCACATACCCGTACAGGAATCTCCATGCAAGTAAAGTTTAATGTTTGTTTTAAACTTGCATTTTTAAATTTCTGATTTAAATCTTTTCGTTAAAGGTGCATTGACGGAAATCCCAGCACACAGCCACATCTGGTTTTGTAGAGGAATGTTTTGTAAGTGAAGCTGTGGTCAGAGCACATCTACAGGCGACAGCACGGCTTGGTATTTGATCATGTTCATGTTTTCTTGGTTTCTTTCTTAGGCTTTGTGTACTTAATTTTGTACAGGTATGTTTCAAGCATTTCATTTACTACTTTCTTTTGCACACAGATACTTGTTTTAGACAGGTAGCATGACTATAATCTATGTATATTCAATTTTGGAATGTTATTTTGACATGTTATGTTATTTTTGCTGTTTGAAATTTTTGTTCAGAAGCCATAATGCTTTTATTTTTATTTTTTCAGTAAGATCATGGGATGTGTGCACAACACATGCATGATGTTTATCACAGGTGGGTTGATGAGTAATTTTTTATGTTCTATAAGCAAACAAAAAACTCCTTTTGTTCCTATTAAATAGGTCAAACTGGTCAGAACACGTAACTACAGGAGACAATTAAGCATTGTGTTTAGAGGTAAAGATGGAGACAAGGGAAGAAACTTTGCTTCGCCAAGGGAAACAATGGTTTTCAAGACAGGTATGTTGGAAATAGCATTTTAAATTATCTGACATGTGGGCTATGTTTAAAAAAGTTTAACTTTGTATTTTATTTTTGCACACGCTACTAATTTTAATCTTTTTATTCGAGCAGCCATGGAGATCACCAGGTACTGTAAATCCATTATTTTGTGTTTTGTTTACATTCAGATTGTGTGTCTTGAATTTTGTTTCAGCCATCCCTGACACAGTTTTCCAGAAAATAGTGGAACATCCTCCAGTCATGTATAAATGGCAGTGTGTGAAACAGTAGCACAGTTCTGTCTTCATTGAAAACTTACACAAGTGTTATAATCTACCACAATTTTGGTGAGTCTATGTTAACTACTAGCTTCCATTCTTTTGTAAAACAATTTCTTCTTTAAATACATTGTTTTCTTTTAAATTGCATTCAAATCTCATTGTCCTTCCCTCTATAATTTTGTTTCAGCCTACCTGTATGTAAAAGTTGCGTCAAATATCTCTTCTAGTTGGTTGTTCCAAGTTTCCAGTGAATTAGACAGTTGCCAAGCTAAATGGAAAACAGATGAAAAAAGTGTCATTGAATGTTCATAAAATAAAAAGATTAAAATAAGTTAGCCTGTTCTTTTGTTTGTGGTTGGATGTGTTCCCCAGGAAGAATGGTCCTAATTTAACTTTTTAAAAAACTGAATTGCTTTCAATGGGTTTTAAAGTAAATTTTATTGTTACTAAATGTGGCTTTTTTATATAGTTCCATTGTATGTCTGCAGTTGGAATATAATTGTGTGTGGAGATTAGTACTTTAAAGTAAGCTACACGCTCTAGTTAGTACTATATCGTAAGCTATATGGGGGAAGGGGGAGGGGTCCTTACATCCTAGCCCAGCATGAAATTATAAAAATCAGCATAAAGACTTACGGTTGAGATAAATTAAATCAACCATTTGTAGACATGTTAGTCACAGATGTCGTGAGCAGCATTATTTACCATAAAGGTTCACATGATAAAGGATGTAATAAAACATACGTACTTGGTCGCAGTTTTTCATGTTAAGGGGAGAGAACTTGTACATTGTTCTCTTCTTGGGGGAGATTTTGTCTGAGTTATGGAACTTGTCAAAGGGCAAGATTTTGCCTGAGGAGAAAATATTAAGCCATACTTTTGGTGATGGGAGTTCGGTCTAAGCTGGGAGTAATGACTTAAGCAGTTTTAAATTCGTACACACTTTTTGTTTTAAATTACTATTATATGAATTAAAACATTTTAAAACAATTCGTAGTAAAAAAGAATTACTTTGTATATTTTGGAGGCATCAACCATTGAGTTTTTTTTTTCAAAAAGACAACATACCAAACAGTTAACTTACCCAGTCTAAATATTTTAAAATTTAGCGCATGTATTGGGACATTGCAGTAGCGTAGCGAGGGGGGGGGGGGGGGGGGCGGGGGGGGGGGGGGCATATGTCCCCGGGCGCCGACCTTAGGGGGCGCCAAAATGGGTTGGAAAAGTAAATAGAAAGGTTGAGGGGGGTGCAAATCAAAATCTCAAGGGGGGGTGCAAATCGAAAAGTTTGTCCCCGGGCGCCGGGAAGGGTCGCTACGCCTCTGGGACATTGTGCCGGTACATTGGACCACGAGATGTCACCGAGCCCCACCCCCCTGGACAATCTTGTGAGCTCTTAGCATTTAAACAATTCTGGGGTAAACGGTAGAAAAAACATCGGGTGTTGGCATGATGTCATTGGATACAAGGTTACCAAAGTCGACAATATTACGTAACAGTCTTGGATTTTTGTGATTTGTGTTTGTAATACAGCCCAAATTTAGCACTGTCATCCCTTTTTCATCACAATTGTTTGACCTGTACTGTAGCCCCTTCTTTTTTAATGGTTAATTCTTACTCCTACTTAAAACATTATTCCGATAATGGACTGATCCAAAAATAGGCGTGTTAGATTCTTAGTTGTTGGCGTAATCATCTCAAGTTGTGTTTCTAATGCATGAGAAATCCAGTACCCTTTTCGCATTATTGGTATTACCGAAGTCCGACAATAGATTATTCAGAAAATAGGTTGTTAGTAGTATTGTAATCTTAGCTCAGGGTCTAGTGTTAAGTTCAGAGCTCAGGTCAGGCATAGGGTTAGCGTTGATGATAGTAAGTCATCTATGTATTCAGTTAACTATCAGTAGCCTAACACCCATTTCTTAAGAAGATTCCGTTATTGTGGAATTATTATTCGTCTTAACCTCACCCCCAACCCTCCCCCCACCCCCAACCCCATTGTACGAATAATGTCACAGGTAAAAAAAAAAAGTCTGGTTTTGCTAGTAAAAAGGTCACAGAAAGTCACAAAACAATTATTTTAATTTACATGTTGAGAATGGTAAAATAATGCGGGTTTTGTTTCCATTAGTTTGACCTTTTTTCACATTCACTTCAATAATAGACACTTTCGGTGAGATAGCTTGTTATTATTGTCAAATACGATTTAGTAATATAGCGAAGGCTAGTAATTACTGTAGGACGTGGATCTGGGTTAGGTATACGTTTAATCTACCAAAGTCATCTACCATAAAATGTACAGCCCCGTATCAAATCGTACACAGTCTTGTACCACATCATAAACAGCCCCATACCACATCACATACAGCCCTGTACCACATCACATACAGCCCTGTACCACATCACATACAGCCCTGTACCACATACAGCCCTGTACCACATCACACACAGCCCTGTACCACATCATACACAGCCCTGGACCACATACAGCCCTGTACAACATACAGCCCTGTACAAGATCATATACAGCCCTGTACCACATACAGCCTTGTACAACATCACATACAGCCCTGTTCAACATACAGCTTTGTACAACATCATATACAGCCCTGTACCACATCACATACAGCCCTGTACAACATACAGCCCTGTACAACATCACATACAGCCCTGTACCACATCACATACAGCCTTGTACCACATACAACCCTGTACCCACATCACATACAGCCCTGTATCCGACATGTATGGCCCTATAAGTGACACGACCTACAGATTATATTTATGCACCACATCATCATATTCATTGTACCACATCACCATATGTGTTGTATCACATCATCATGTGACCTCAAGCACAGTTCTATCACTAGTACTTGACCTTCAAATGACCTTGTCGACACAACCTCAACATGACGCTGTGCCAGAACTATTGGGTCAATCTGACTTTTGACCTGAGATGTCACTGAATTTAACCTCGATTTTGGAAACGCACTGAGTTTTCACTATTACGCAATTAGGTAGATAATTGTGGGGTGAACGTTTGAACTTAACTCAACCATCGGGGATTTGAATGATGACCGTAAGTTACGTAACCAGGCTATGACAGGCGAAAGTGTTACGTAACAGCTTAGATTGTGATGAGTTTGTGAGTTGTGTTACTAATACAGCCATGTGTTGGGGATATGAATGACGTAATATGACCACAAGTTACGTAATTGGGTCATGACAGTCAAACCAGTTACGTAACAGCTTAGTCTGTGAGTTGTGTTTCTAATACAGCCATATTTTAGACCTGTCATCCCTTTTTATGACAATGGTTGGACCTGCTTTGTCCACTCTTCAAATAAACGTCCTACCTCTGTCCGATAATAGACTCTTCCCATATTACTTGCCCCAAGTCACAACCAGCGTTTCTTCCAGACTTTTTTCTCCGGGGGGGGGGTGCACTTGAAATTTTCGGGGGGGGGGGGTAGACTTTCTTCGGGGGGGGGGGGGGGTGGACACTGTTAAAAGTATATATTTTCTATATAAATTATATAAATTTTATTTCGTTCGGGGGGAGGGCGGTAATAAATTTTTCGGGGGGCTTAGCCCCCCCCCCCCCCCCCCCCGAAGAGATGCCTGGAAGAAACTCTGGTCACAACAACACGACCTTTAGATGGGTTATTATTCTGACGTCACAAGATTCTAAGGTGACCTGTGCCTACACTCACAACTTAAGATATTCAGTTGTCTTCCACTTATTTGTTGGAATTGTTCAATACGTCAACAATCGTATAGAATTGTGTCGGATAATCCTCAATTCACGCTGATCAACACACATGCACCTGTTATAGAAAGTTATTGTGTGACAGAGTTGTATAGTGACATAGTTCTAACATGGGAGAGTTGTAACATGGCATAGTTATAACATGGCATAGTTGTAACGTGACATAGTTGTAACGTGACATAGTTGTAACGTGACATAGTTGTAACGTGACATAGATATTACATGACAGAGTTGTAACATGACAGAGTTGTAACATGACAGAGTTGTAACGTGACATAGTTGTAACGTGACATAGTTGTAACGTGACATAGTTGTAACGTGACATAGTTGTAACATGACAGAGTTGTAACATGACAGAGTTGTAACGTGACATAGTTGTAACGTGACATAGTTGTAACGTGCAGGGTTCGTACTGCTTTTTGAAAATGAAATTCCAGACTTTTTCCAGACATTTTCCAGACTTTTTTTGGAAAAATTCCAGACTTTAGACAGATAATGTGTTAGCGAATAATTTTTTAAAATGATGCACTATTTGTACTGTCATTATAATTACTTATACTAAATTGACATTTATTTCAGGCTATATTCACAGTGAACTTTCTCTAGCCAAATTGACAAAAAAACATTTTTTCTAAGTTTGCCTACTCCACCCTACCAAAAATTTTAACAATTAAAATAATTGATTAAAATGATGCAACTATTTTGTTTCCAACATTAGACTTATGTAATCTGTTCCTGATCTAATTGCTTATGTTTTCAATTAAACTATCATTAAAATGGTATTGCATAATAGTGAGAGTTAATTACTATAAAGAATAATAATGTAATGTATTAATTTAGGTCTGCTCTTGTTAAGTAGCCTAAATAAATATAGGTTACTTGTAAAAAAAAATGTAGAGCAAAAAAAAAAAAAAAAAAAATCATTCACTGTTTGTGCTTATAGTAATAGCTGAGAAACGGGTCTGCAATTTAAAAAAAAAAGTTGCCGGTATCCTTCTTTCCCCCCCCCCCCCCCACATACACGACACGGTGAAGGGGTCACTGTGAGGTCATAGTAGTCTAGACTTCAGTATGCCTGTTTAATACGTCATAACAGGAACTGTGCTGTGACTTATACCCCCTCCCCCACCTTACTTACCAAGCGGTACCAACTACGCACTTGGGGTCACGGTGAGTTCACACAAAGGACCGATGTTACAAGGAGGGGCGGGGTAGTCTAACTTTAATCGTCAGCATTTGCAAAGATTTCAAAAAACAGTTTAATGGAAGGTGAATTAAAATTAAAGGGGTCATCCATTTATGACGTACACATGGAGGGGGGAAGGGGTCAGAAGATTTTGTGATTACATTCTAAAACAAACATAAAACTTGTATCTTGTGAGTAGAAAGTAAAATTAAGACGACTGTGTTAGTGTTTTAAAAACCATCACAGCGTGTAAACAAAACACGGTATTTATATCTGCCCTAACATTATTATAAAACCCTCCTCCCGACTTTCCGGAGTGTGACGTCATTTATGGTCGACTCCTTAATAAAAAATAGTACCTCTTGGTTAAGCTGAAGCAAACAGAATTACAGGTATGAACCCAAGGAGGCCTTGCGACTTATTAATCTTATAAATGCTAATATTAATCCAAAGTAAGTGAACGCGTGTGGACAGAGGGCAGGGAGGGGGAGTGGGGAAAGGGGGAAGTCTAAAATCCGAAAAATTGTTGTAATTCATAAATGGATGACGCCTTACAGACTGATACATTATATCTAAACTACCACTCACACATCTCTCCCATAACTTTTGTTATGACTGCCTGCATGCAAACTCAAACGATGAAAAAATAGCGGGTAAAATCGAGAGCCTAACAATTCTGACGGCGATCATTCTTTCAATAAATGACAATTGTAAGTACTTGTAACACATTCACACGGTCAGTCGTGCCACAAAATATCTCTTCCCTCCCTTCCCCTCTTCTCCCAATGACGTAGTAACTGAGCATTTTTTCTGCGAACCAGCGAAAAAACGTGACAACACAGTGTAAACCCGCGCGATAGCGCGGGAAAAAAATTGGAGTAAATTCACTTAAAAATAGCAATTTTTTAAGTTGGAAAATATGGACTACGAAGTTTTGTTTCTAAAACTAGATTCCAGACTTTTTCCAGACTTTTAAAAAATCCTGCCCAAAAACTAGCGATTTTCCAGACTTTTTTAAGTCTTAAATTCACTTTTCGAAATTCAAGACTTTTTCCAGACTTTCCAGACTGCGTACGAACCCTGAACGTGACATAGTTGTAACGTGACATAGTTGTAACATGGCATAGTTGTAACATGGCATAGTTGTAACGTGACAGTTGTAACATGACAGAGATGTAATATGGCATAGATGTATCGTGACATAGTTGTAACATGACATAGATTCACGTGACAGAGTTGTAACGTGACATAGTTGTAACGTAATAGAGTTGTAACGTGACATAGTTGTCACATGACAGGGTTGTCACATGACTTAGTTGAAACATGAGATAGTTGTCACATGACATAGTTGTAACGTGACATAGTTGTAACGTGACATAGTTGTAACATGACAGAGTTGTAACATGACAGAGTTGTAACGTGACATAGTTGTAACGTGACATAGTTGTAACGTGCAGGGTTCGTACTGCTTTTTGAAAATGAAATTCCAGACTTTTTCCAGACATTTTCCAGACTTTTTTTGGAAAAATTCCAGACTTTAGACAGATAATGTGTTAGCGAATAATTTTTTAAAATGATGCACTATTTGTACTGTCATTATAATTACTTATACTAAATTGACATTTATTTCAGGCTATATTCACAGTGAACTTTCTCTAGCCAAATTGACAAAAAAACATTTTTTCTAAGTTTGCCTACTCCACCCTACCAAAAATTTTAACAATTAAAATAATTGATTAAAATGATGCAACTATTTTGTTTCCAACATTAGACTTATGTAATCTGTTCCTGATCTAATTGCTTATGTTTTCAATTAAACTATCATTAAAATGGTATTGCATAATAGTGAGAGTTAATTACTATAAAGAATAATAATGTAATGTATTAATTTAGGTCTGCTCTTGTTAAGTAGCCTAAATAAATATAGGTTACTTGTAAAAAAAAATGTAGAGCAAAAAAAAAAAAAAAAAAAATCATTCACTGTTTGTGCTTATAGTAATAGCTGAGAAACGGGTCTGCAATTTAAAAAAAAAAGTTGCCGGTATCCTTCTTTCCCCCCCCCCCCCCCCACATACACGACACGGTGAAGGGGTCACTGTGAGGTCATAGTAGTCTAGACTTCAGTATGCCTGTTTAATACGTCATAACAGGAACTGTGCTGTGACTTATACCCCCTCCCCCACCTTACTTACCAAGCGGTACCAACTACGCACTTGGGGTCACGGTGAGTTCACACAAAGGACCGATGTTACAAGGAGGGGCGGGGTAGTCTAACTTTAATCGTCAGCATTTGCAAAGATTTCAAAAAACAGTTTAATGGAAGGTGAATTAAAATTAAAGGGGTCATCCATTTATGACGTACACATGGAGGGGGGAAGGGGTCGGAAGATTTTGTGATTACATTCTAAAACAAACATAAAACTTGTATCTTGTGAGTAGAAAGTAAAATTAAGACGACTGTGTTAGTGTTTTAAAAACCATCACAGCGTGTAAACAAAACACGGTATTTATATCTGCCCTAACATTATTATAAAACCCTCCTCCCGACTTTCCGGAGTGTGACGTCATTTATGGTCGACTCCTTAATAAAAAATAGTACCTCTTGGTTAAGCTGAAGCAAACAGAATTACAGGTATGAACCCAAGGAGGCCTTGCGACTTATTAATCTTATAAATGCTAATATTAATCCAAAGTAAGTGAACGCGTGTGGACAGAGGGCAGGGAGGGGGAGTGGGGAAAGGGGGAAGTCTAAAATCCGAAAAATTGTTGTAATTCATAAATGGATGACGCCTTACAGACTGATACATTATATCTAAACTACCACTCACACATCTCTCCCATAACTTTTGTTATGACTGCCTGCATGCAAACTCAAACGATGAAAAAATAGCGGGTAAAATCGAGAGCCTAACAATTCTGACGGCGATCATTCTTTCAATAAATGACAATTGTAAGTACTTGTAACACATTCACACGGTCAGTCGTGCCACAAAATATCTCTTCCCTCCCTTCCCCTCTTCTCCCAATGACGTAGTAACTGAGCATTTTTTCTGCGAACCAGCGAAAAAACGTGACAACACAGTGTAAACCCGCGCGATAGCGCGGGAAAAAAATTGGAGTAAATTCACTTAAAAATAGCAATTTTTTAAGTTGGAAAATATGGACTACGAAGTTTTGTTTCTAAAACTAGATTCCAGACTTTTTCCAGACTTTTAAAAAATCCTGCCCAAAAACTAGCGATTTTCCAGACTTTTTTAAGTCTTAAATTCACTTTTCGAAATTCAAGACTTTTTCCAGACTTTCCAGACTGCGTACGAACCCTGAACGTGACATAGTTGTAACGTGACATAGTTGTAACATGGCATAGTTGTAACATGGCATAGTTGTAACGTGACAGTTGTAACATGACAGAGATGTAATATGGCATAGATGTATCGTGACATAGTTGTAACATGACATAGATTCACGTGACAGAGTTGTAACGTGACATAGTTGTAACGTAATAGAGTTGTAACGTGACATAGTTGTCACATGACAGGGTTGTCACATGACTTAGTTGAAACATGAGATAGTTGTCACATGACATAGTTGTAACGTGACCAAGTTGTAACATGTGAGAGTTGTAACGTGACAGATTTGTAACGTGACAGATTTGTAACGTGACAGATTTGTAACGTGACAGATTTGTAACGTGACAGATTTGTAATGTGAAAAAATTGAATGCCTCTAATTGTTATATCACACTATAATAAATTATGAACTGCCTTAGAACATTTCATGTAAAGTTTTGTAACCACTGCTAATTAGCTCTGAACCACATCACATATAGTCCTCTACCACATCCACGCCCGTATTGTACCACATCATTATAG